ACCAGGTACGTGTCTCGTCACCCTCGTCAGACCTTGTTACCCCACACATGCGCCAATTTCCCAGAAGACCACCAGATCGCCCACATTACCCCCAAGCGCCCAGCAGCCCGGCTATCGCTGCCAGCACACCGCTGCCCTGCAGCGCCCCACTTCACCTCTATGCGCTCCGCCAGCGCCCTTGGCCGCAGCGCAGCAGCGTGTCCGCATTGCCTACGCGGGCCAGAATGCCTGGCCTGGGCTGCCTTGCTTCCTTTATGGAAGTGGCARCCTCCTGGATACTGCGTGTGGCCTGGCTGGAAGGTTGCAGTAGCTTCCGGTTGGGCCTCAGTTCCTGCGCCCAGGCCCAAGACTACAGTTGAGGGCCTGGGCCCTTTACAGTTGGGCACGGCCTGAGTCTCGGACTTGGGCCGTGTGCTGTATTTGCTCAGAACCCCCGGGTAGGTGCATAGACAGTTCTGCTTTTGCATAAGCCGCTGGCCGCTTCACGATGTATCGGCCCTGCTTTGCGTGTATGTGCCCAGGTGCAACTGCCAAGGCCTGGGCCAACTGTACTACACAGCTGAGTGAGGCTCACGCGTCCACTCAACCAACTGGCGTGCTGCAAGAGCCTGAAAATGTCGAATTTTGGCCTCTGATGAATATTCAGGCCCACCTTCACTTAGGGCGGGCACTCGGCTTGCAGGGGGGGTCTGCCCAGAACATGTGATGTCTGATAGGGTCCCGTGAGGCCTTGTTCCTCACATTCCATCCCCCTTAGCTTCGAAAGTCCGCTGAGATGCTTCATGCTGGTGCCTTTCCCTTCAGTTTCTTCTCATACTCGGCCACAATCTGAGGAGCTGTCTTGCCAAGTTCCTCCCTTGTAATCCATCGATCTTCCTTAGGATCAGTATGATGCCTGAAATTTACTCTATACTCCCTTGCAGGTTTAGGCAGTCTACCCCTTCCAGCTGGCTTGGGAACAGGCATGTCTTTGTGTTCCAGGATATCGTTGACGTCCACTTGGCCATCCATGGTTGGGGGCAGCATAGATCTCCGTGATGGGAACTGTTCTGTCTCAGCGAAAGGAGCGAGTTTTGAGGCATGGAAGACAGGGTAAGTGCGTAAGTGACCAGGGACACGAATAACGTACGAGGGACCATCCTTTTTTTTTGTTGAAAAAGCTAATATTCCTCTCTCAATTTCACCTCACACTACCTACCTACCACTACTCCTAATTGTAGGCATACGGGGAACCCCGTAGCAGCCAGAACCGTGTTCACGAGAGAACATGTGGGGGCTGCTCCCAACCTGCAGGTGGGCGATACAGGCCAGGGGACCGCCGGTAGAATCAGGACCATGCCAAGAGGACCAATCCCTGTGCCTCCCCTCAGGTCCCCTCCCCTACGAACATCAGCAGATTCTGCTCAATGCCGATCGGGGGATCCAGTGGTCTATCTCTAGGTGGCGGGCGCCAAGCATGCCTAGGAAGGTACATGAGGCCAATGGGGATTGAACCCACGACCTCCTGAATGCCACTTGCAAGCCTTACCAACTGAGTTAGGCCGCTACCCACAATATCCAGGACTTCCCAGGGACCGAAATACTGAGGCATTAGTTTCCTAGAGATGCCGAACTCCTGTCCCAGTTCACTAGCCTTAACCCAGACACGTTCCCCTACCTGAAATGTGGACTGTCGGTGATGCTTGTTCTCAGAAGCTATCGTTGCTTCCTGAGACTTCTTGATGTTCTTGACAACTTGCTGCAGCAACTTCTCGTACTGGACACCAAGTTCAATGGTTCCAGGAGTTGCAACAGGTCGGTTTTCAGGAAGGAGGAAGTCTAGTGCAGATCTAGGCTTCCACCCGAGATGCAGCTCATTCGGGGTGACCCCGGTGGTGCTATGTACAATGTTATTGTACAGACAGGCCATGAGAGGTAATTTCTCATCCCAGTCATCTTGGCTGGGCTTAATATAATGCCTCAGCAGATGCGGCACCACCCGGTTCATCTGTTCAGCCTGCCCATTGGCTTCGGGATGATTCCCAGAAGTCATTTGGAGCTGGCTGTCCATCTGTTCAGCGGCCTTCTTCCACATCTCACTTGTGAAATGTACATCTCTATCACTAATGATCATCTTTGGTAGCCCAAAGTCACGCACCCAGTTATCCATGAATAACTTGATGACGTGTTCAGTCTTGGCGGTGTTCGGCATGGCGATTAGTCTAGCAAACTTAGTGAACCTATCAACTATGACGAAGATATGCCTCTTGCCATTCTTGCTGGCATGAGAGTATCCATGAAGTCCACGAAGATACTCTGCCCCGGGCCAACAGAAATGGGTAGAGGCTTGAGTAACACAAGCGGAGCGTGAGTTCGCGGCTTGTCCCGCTGACAGACCTGACAGGTCTGTGCGTACTACTTTGTATCGTCCAGCATGTTAGGCCACCAAAATCGCTGTACTAAATTAGCACTAGGCTTCTTATAGCCGAAATGTCCTGTTGCGTCGTGGCACTCACCTAGAAATAAACTACGCAAAATTTCCCTAGACCGAACAACTAACCTAATAAACCCTGCCTTCTCAAGAAAGAGTAACCCACCCACCATCACAAACTCGCCAGTGGTGGCCTTCTCTTTGGCCTCCAGTTTGTTGATGATGTCCATCGTGATGGGGTCTTTCTTGTAGGCTTCCCCCAAGGATCGAGTAACGTACTCAACAAGGCCAAACTCAAAAATCAGCGCACCTAGGTAATTTGCCCTACGAGACAAAGCATCTGCAACCTTGTTGTACTCTCATTTCACATAGTCTAGTTTAAAGTCATACTGATTTATGACTTCAATCCAGCGTTTGAGTGCATTGGAGAGAACTGGTTGTGTCTTGATCTACTTGAGGGTCTGATGGTCAGTTCTCAAATAAAAGAACCTTCCTAACAAGTAGTGCCTCCGGTGTACAAGTGCCTTGTAGAGGGCATAGAGTTCCCTCTCGTAGGTGGACTTTGCCAACTTCTTTGATGGCATCTTTTTACTCATATACTCGACCGGTCTCAACTTTTTCCCTTCCCGCTGAGCCAACACTGCGCCAATGCTATATTGGCTTGCATCAGTGGTTACAACAAACGGCCTTTGCGGGTCGAGTACCATGAGAACCTCATGGTGCGTGAGTGCATGCTTCAAACGCTTGAAGATGCCTCACACTCGTCGGTCCAGTCCCAAGGCGTATCAAGTCGAGTTAGATCAATCAAGGGAGATGTGATCGTGCTATAATTCTTAACGAAATTGCGCTTATACCTACACATTCCCAAGAATGATCTGACCTCAGTCACAAACTGGGGTCGTGGCCAGTCACGTATGCTAGCCACCTTTGCATCTTCGGGCCTAATCCCATCCGTGGATACTTCATGACGCAAGTACAAGATTCGAGTGCGTCCAAACTCATATTTCTCTGCATTTATCTTATACTTGTGTTGTCGAAGGAGTGAAAGTACCTTGTCTACATGTTGAGCATGCTCCTCAACAGTCTTACTAAAGATAAGTATGTCACCGCGATACACGACGACGAACTTATCTAAGTAGTCATGGAAGATCCTATTCATGGCGTGCTGGAATGTACCCTGCGCGTTGCAAAGGCCAAAGGGCATCACCACAAACTCGTACAGACTGTACCTGGTCTGGAATGCGGTTTTATGCTGGTCCTTTGTCTTATGGCAATCTGATGGTAGCCGGATTTTATCTTTGTATAGTACTTACATCCCTGCACCCTATCCAATAGTTCGTAGATGCGTGGTAGAGGCTCTGCGTTCTTAATGGTGATGGCATTGAGGCCTCTATAATCAATGCACATCCTTAGTGTTCCCCCTTTCTTTGGAACAAATAACACTGGTGAGCCAAAGGGGGAGGCGCTAGGCCGAATCCAACCCTTCTCTGTGAGCTCTTTCAATTGTCACTGAAGCTCGTCCAACTCCGTCGGAGCCATCCTATAGATTCTCCCTTTAGCTGTCTTGCTACCTGGGATGATCTCTATGGCATGGGCAACCTCCCTGTCTACGACTCTTGTAGGCTCCTCAAACAGATCAGGGTACTTAGCGACGATGGTCTCTATCTCTGAGGGTGTTTTAACGGCCTCCCCTTTCTCAGAGACATAAACTAGGTACATACCTTCCTCTTGGTTCTGTTTGTAATAGTTATAGAACGCAGGTGCGCACAAGCACCCAAAGGAGTCAATTAACCTACTGGCTTTGTACTTTGCCAATCTAGCGGTTCTCCCATTAGGCAACTCCTACTTTAGCACCTTCTCGTCTTAGTCAAACTGAGCTTGGCAACCTCGAGGTAGTACATGCCCAACAACATGTCGAAACGCAAATCGTCGCTCACTAGGAATGATATTCTATGATTTAATTCTCCTCCTGGGTAGGAGAAAGTGCAGACCACGTCCTTCACGTAGTCCACCATCATGCGCTCTTTGTTGGCCAAAGTAGATGCTACCGTGACACCTGAACGGACTGTTTTTCCAAAAAAAAAAAGAAAAAAGAAAAAAAAAGAAAAAAGGTGTTGCACCCGATCCTTTAGGCACAATCTCTTAACGCACTCGCAACTTATGAAGTTTCGTGTGGAGCCGATGTCTATGAAGGCACCGCACTTGCGGCCGCCCACACCAACTTCCACAACGAAATGCTCCCTCAAGGACCTCTACTTAGCGCCACCCAGGACTCACGAGGGTCCCTTGCGGACCACTCACCTTGAAGGTCCTCTAAGGCTTCAGACACATCCAACGTACAGAGTATAGTTGGGTCCGGATGCGTCTGCGGGGTGACTGAGGAGTCAATAGCTTCGGCCAACTCTTGAAACGGGGAGGGTACATCACCCGCTTCAACGAGAGTAGAAGCAGCTACAACTTCTACTGGCCCCAAGTGTTTCCTGAGCTCGAGCTCGTAGAGGCCCCAGACTGAGAAGAAGGATACCCACCGTTAGGCGGGATCTTCTGCGAAACCTTAGTGTTCTTGCATTTAAACTGCTGATGGTCGTACTCGCCTAAGTTTATGCAAACCCCACGCTGCTAACGATCCTGCCACACTTCTTCATCCAAACCGTCCCTAACCCAAGCAACTATTTTGTTTAGGTTGACGGCTTGCCCCTAACTCCTTTGTTGACCGCCCTTGCCGCAGCCACCTGCCTGAGCTCTCCACAAAGTCAGAAACATCATCAATCTCCATTTCATTTCCATCGGAATCAACCATCATCAATCGACTACCCTTCTTCTTCCACTCTTGTGGAGCCTTCTTCTTTCTCCCGTCCGTAGGGGGGGTTTGAGCACCAACCAGTGTAGCCTCTAAGTCTAGGGCCTTCTTGCTGAATGTCTCAAATGTGTGATACTCAAGTCGATCTTCACTGGCTGACAAGTTCTTGATGTCTGCGGGAAGACACCTAAAAAACATGGTCAGCAAGACCTGTGGATTGTACTCCACGCCTGGGACGACAGTCAAACGCTCTACAGTCGTGGTAAGTTCGCACACAAACTTGTACTTTCTAGCATCAAGTTTCAGTAACCCATCAATGGCTATTTGCGCCTCTACCAAGTCCATAAAACTCTCCAGGGTGTGGGTCTTAGCCCAATCACCCATGTTCCTGCCGAAACCCTTGGAAGCCACCAATCCATTGAGCCAGCGAGCTGCTGAACCCTCCAAGTAGGATGCAACAATAATCACCTCCTCCTCTACCAGTGTCCTCTTTGCCCTGACCCACACTGGAACCGTTCTCAACCAAGTGTCGAGCACCTTATCCTTCTTATCTCCTGAGAAGCTTGGAGGTGGTTTCAGTGGGGTCTTGGGGTACCATGGTTGCTGCTATCACTCTGGCGAGACAGGTGGCGACTGTGGTGTAGCTCCACCGGCTGGACCAGAAGATGAAGAAGCAACAGTTTGAGATAGTGCTGCTGATGACGTACTGGTTGGTGTTGATCCGAACTGAGCGACATAGGGGTCTGTAATCGCTGAGAATGGCAGTGATGGCAAAACTGCTGGTCTGATTCCTGGCCTTTGCATGGCATTCAGGATCTGGTCCAGGGTGTCCTGGATTGCATCCTTGTCCATGTATGCATGCATGGACAGGATGCTCGCCTTGACAACTTTCATGTTGTTGTCCAGGGTAGAGTCATCTAAACCCTCTCCTGCCGAAACCCTTGGAAGCCACCAATCCATTGAGCCAACGAGCTGCTGAACCCTCCAAGTAGGATACAATAGTAATCACCTCCTCCTCTACCAGTGTCCCCTTTGCCCTGACCCACACTGGAACCGTTCTCAACCAAGTGTCGAGCACCTCATCCTTCTTATCTCCTGGGAAGCTTGGAGGTGGTTTCAGTGGGGTCTTGGGGTACCATAGTTGCTACTGTCCCACTGGTGAGACAGGTGGCGACTGTGGTGTAGCTCCAGCCGCTGGACCAGAAGATGAAGAAGCAACAATCTGAGATAGTGCTGCTGCTGACATACTGCTTGGTGTTGATCCGAATTGAGCGACATAGGGGCCTGTCATCGCTGAGAATAGCAGCCATGGCAAAACTGCTGGCCTGATTCCTGGCCTTTGCATGGCATTCAAGATCTGGTCCAGGGTGTCCTGGATTGCATCCAGTTTGTTGTCCATCCATGCATGCATGGACAGGATGCTCGCCTTGACAACTTTCATGTTGTTGTCCAGGTTAGAGTCATCTAAATCGTCTAGTGCAACTTTGTCTGCCTGTCTGCTCTCTAGTCTGATACTCCTATTTCTAATTTCTTTCTCCCTGTCGATAGCCTTTTTAAGTTCCTCCTCTAGCCTTAAGTGAATCCTTTCCACTTGTTGGAGCTCCATCTGATCCTGGGTGCGTGGAGGCGGCGAGTTGTACTGCGAGCCCGCCATCTGACTAGTGCCAACTCCTGATGTACTAGAGATGACTTGCGAACTGGTCGAGTTGGGCGGCATGCCCATACCCAGACCAGTTGAGTTCGCAGGAAAAGTTGCTGCAAAGGTAGCCATTGCTACCGCGCTAGCTGCTGCTGCTGCCAACGCCAGTTCTACAGCTGCTGCTGCTTCTCTCGCAGTCTCTAGATTACGGGCCCTTGCTTCAACCCTTACCCTTCTCTCATCCCCTGGAAGTAGAAATTGGAACACTACGGGTATCCTACTCGTATCTTGTCGTGTCTTCCTCCTATCGTCAGTTGTTCCTTCACCACCCTCTGATCTGCTCATCAACTAGGCAAACACTGTCTGCACTAGAGTCTTCTCTGGGACCTACCGCAACATGCGTCTGACCGGTTCTAAAAATAAATAAAATAATATAATGTCCGGCGAGTTACCTAGACTACCGGTCAAGCGGCATGAACAACACCTACACGGACCGTACACATATAGTCTACTTCTATCCTGATTAGTTCTGCACAGGAGCTTAGAGAAGAATTGACCATGGTAGATTACATTCCTACTCTAGGCTGTTTGTTAGGTGTCAGCAGCCTGTCAACCAACTAGTCAAAATAAAAATAAACTGCTGTGAGCAGATGTATGCACAATGGGTATGATAGTGATGTACAATCAAGTCCTCAATTGGAGTCCCCTTCCCTTGTATCCAACGTACCTGTGAGCATCGTCAAGTGGCGGTGTCTAAGGTGTGCAATATTGGCCCACCCTTATGCCCAAGGCGTATGCTTATGACCGGCCTCCCCGTTATTTACCCCTGCGTGCAACAAGCCTTACGTCTGACTGATCTGGATGATCAAGAGGCAATTTAAGGACAGCCCCCGAGAGTCCTCAGGAATTATTTAACGTCGCAATCAGGACGACGATCACAGCCAGTGTACAGTTCAAACCCCAACCAGAAATATTTATAAACGGTCTGGGAGTGTCTGCTTAGGACTGGTCAGTCCGCACACCCCTTCTATCTGCGCAACAAAGAGCCTCAAAGGACAAAGTAACATGGCCTGCGTGTACTACTCCCATGGGTTGGCATGGTGACCATGACCCGTGCTTCGACCAGGGCCGTTCAGAGGCACCGCCCTCTCCTGCCAGATGCGCCATCGGGAAGAATGTCGTCTCTGAAGATAGAGTGCACACGACTCCTCACCAAAGAGCGGACACTCAAGGTTGGACTCACTTCCTCACGGTAACAAGAGATTAAGAGGATAGATAAGGAATGGCAACAACGTACCTGGAGATGCCCCCAACCACAGATTTCTCACCAATTGGGCCAACGTGCATTTCGATGACCGGTCAATAGCCTCGGTACCAACCACAACGCGATGCAGTGCCACCTCAGCCAAAATGCCACGTCAGCATGCTCTCAGCATCATACATACACCCGTTGTCGCCACAGCCTTCCAGAGGCCGGCCCCTCTACCTGGGCCCCGCTCAATCAAACCAGCGCCAATGTATCCTTACTGCACAGAAGCATCTCAGCGCACCAAGTAATAATGTTGTCGATGCCAGGTAAGCGGCGATCACGAACCAGCTCCGATACCAAATTGCAAGGAATATGAGTGTGAACGATATACAGAACACCAAGTTGCGAAATCACACAGATGTCCACATAGTCGTGTACAAGCAGAGAGCACAAATGCACCGAGAATCCATCCAAATAGAGCAWTACAATGAAGTAATGAGCCAATGTTCAAGCCCTCAGGCCACACCAACACAGTATCCAAAGTCTCTCCTCTCTGTCTGGTGCCCAGCGCCTAGCCTACTCTACTCGACTATCCTACGTACAACTGTGTTCACGCAACAGGCTCACTTCGACTTTTGAAGACCAATGTACATGATGTCAACACCATAGCCGACCTCTCTTCATGCACCACATATGTGTCTCGTCACCCTCATCAGACCTTGTTACCCCACACACGCGCCTCCTTCCCAGAAGACCACCAGATCGCCCACATTACCCCCAAGCGCCCAGCAGCCCGGCTATGGCTGCCAGCGCACCGCTGCCCTGCAGCACCCCACTTCACCTCTACGTGCTCCGCCAGCGCCCTTGGCCGCAGCGCAGCAGCGTGTCCGCATTGCCTACGCGGGCCAGAATGCCTGGCCTGGGCTGCCTTGCTTCCTTTATGG